GGGGGGGGGGCTCTAGACTGCTGTGGAAAGAGTGGGAGGGACAGGGGGCTCACCTGGAAGAGTTTTAAGTGGAGGTGCTAGGGGTGAGCTTTCCTCCACCAACTTACCTTGTGGAATCTCCAGGTGGGCTCTGCAGTTTTGCCCCAGGCACAAAGCAACCAAAAGTACAAAAACTGCCTGTTAACAACCCAGACCTTTAGCTACTGGGAACTTTGGCACCAGTGATGGAGCCTCAAAGGAATTTGTGGATTCCTCTCCCACAAGTGTCCAGAGGCTGGGTGCTGGGAAAATGTGGAGTTCTCAGAGGGAGTGAGAATAGCAGTCAGAACAGACAAAGAGTTAAAGGAAAGAAACAAAAAGAATGAGTGAACCAACATCCAGACTTCGATTTCCTTAATTTTTCCTTATTTTGCTTAAGTTTGGGGATTGTATTTGTCATTTTTCAAAGACAACAGTGCGTTTTATTGACGGCTCTGCCGCTAGGTGCTGGATCACACACACAAGTCATTCAATTATGGTTTTTCTTAAAGACAAGTTCCTTTCCTCTGTGCTAAGATCTCCCAGCCCAGAAGAGGAACAAACCATTACCACTCCACTTTAATAAAGAGTCAAGGAGCCCTAGTGATGATATGTTGGACTACTGAGCACAAGGTCAGTGGTTTGAACCCTGTAAGAGCAAGATGAAGGTTTCAACAGGAGAAAAACTAGATTTTCTACTCCCATAAAGACTTAACAGTCCTGGGAAACCAGAAGAGTTTCTATGGTGTTTTATATGGGGCAATTCTACTAGGCTTTATAAGGTCGCTATGAGTCAGCATTGGCGCAATGACTGAGTTTGGTTTGGGGTTTTGATGAGGAGGCACAGTATTTTAGTACGAAAGACAAAATGGTGAGGAAATTGCATGGTGTGCGTATGGACATGCTTCGGCAGGACCAAGGATGCCGGCAGGAAGGCCTTGTTTGTGCAAATACAGGCAGACCATTCCCCCAGCCGTTCTCCCACTTTATCACCATGTGACTCCTCAGCAAAAGCAAGCTAATTTGGAATTTGGACTTTGCTTTGTTTGAGAAGAAAAATCAGGGAAATGACATGAAGACCCAAAGGCTCTGTTTTAATGCTTATATTCTTAGCACTCCATTTGTATTACAGCTTATATTCTTAGTACCCCATTAGTAGGAGGCTCTGGGTAACAGTGAAAACCCAAAATCCATCTGCAGAGTCCCCACATAGAGTAAGCCTCCATTGAATTCTTTCTGATAATTAATCAAGGATATACATAATCTTGCCCTCAGGCAGAGTGCATTGAATTATTTCCACCCCTCTCCTGGAAGCCCACGGAGAATCTGTCTCTCTTCAGGGTGTACTTGTCTGTGTCCTTGATGGAAATCACCTAGTGGAACAGTACTTCAGCTACGAGCCCTACCCCACAGTAGTGCCCTGACTGCTTTGGCTGAAAGGCCCTGGATCAATCTTCTCATTTCTTCTATCTAACGTAATGTAAATGTTCCAATCGTGGCCCTGTGCCCACTACTCTAGTCCCACACATAATGATGGAGTGAACTACCAAGGATCAGGAATCTGTGACAATTCCATTGCTCGGTCTCTTAAGTAACTAGCATCCTGACTTGAGAATCCGCAGATGCCATTCTGACCTCGTGAAAATGGCCTTTTTCATCTGGATAATGTGTCTGTGTCTGTGCGTTGTCTTTGTCTCTTTTAAAATGTAATAAATGTTCTCTTTAAATTATATTTGACATCGGGGTCTCTTTTTTCCACTAAAATAGATCTTAAAATTTGGTCTTAGCAAGGAGATACGGAGAAAGAAACGTTTAGTTGTATTGTAGTACAGCGTCTTCTATAGAAAACAACATTGGCTGAAAAGCAAAGAAATTCAAGGTTTGAATTCTCATTCTACCATTAGCTTGTATGACAGCAGGGAAGTTACTTATTACGATTAAAATTTTCTTATATGTAAAAAGAGATTGATTGTATCAAAGGTTCCTAACTACTCTCTTGCTCAAAAATCCCATGATTCTTGAATGAGTTTGAAATCAGGGCAGGAGTTCCACTCAACATTCACACAGCAGAATATGTCTCCTCCTTCGTGTTGGGTACTGTTGACAGGCAGTCCTGATCCAGCCTCACAGTGGGAACTGTGTTTGAGCCCATGGTTGCAGGCCCTGTGTCAATTAGTCTCATGGAGGGTCTTGCCCTTTTTCACTAAACATCTACTTTACCAATACAATGTCCTTCTCAAGGGACTGGATAAGATGCCTAAAGTGGATGAGAAAAAGACCGGCCATACTTGCTCCTATTGACTGTACTTCCAACAGAGACTTGTTTGTACTGGAATAGTTAAGTCAATATTCTTTACCAACACCGTAATTCAAAGACATCAATTCTTCTAAAGTCTGCCTTATTCATTCCTTTTCACGTGCATATGAGGTGATTGAAAATACCACCACGTCTTGGGTCAGGCATACTGTAGTCCTCAAAATGACACCTTTGCATTTTAACAAATTAAAGTGTTAAAGGTAATTCTTAGGAACTGCTAAATCCTGGAAAAATGGAAGCACGGGTCCTTCTTTTAATGGGTGCATAGTGTGGTGAGGCAGTCAGAAATGTAGTCTACAGAATGATAAACAGTATATTTTAAAAGTGAGCAGAAAGAATGGTGGATTATTAATTACCAACGAATAATTAGTAATGAATTACGTTACTGGGAGAAAGCTCAAAGAGTCGAACTTCTCTACTCTACAGTTCTTGTTCTTCTCACCAGAAAGATTTCAGGGGAGTCCTAAAATTGAGACCAGACTCAAAGAAAAGGGTTGAACAGAAAGGGCAAGTTTTATTGAAGGGATACTTGGTGAAAGAAGTCCAAAGG